CTGCCAGGAGAATGAACAAATCTGTCTTGAAAGAAGTACAGCCAAAATGCTTCTTAGAAGCAAGGCTAGTGAGACTTTGTCTCATGTATTTTCGACATGTTATCAGGAGGGACCAGTCCTTAGAAGACATCATGCTTGGTGTCATGCATTGAATTGTGTCCCCAAAAATGTCTGTCAACTTGGCTGGGTCATGATTCCCAGCATTATACGATTGTGTACCATTCTGTAATCTGATGTGATTTCCTTATGTGTTGTAAACTCAACCACTATGATCTAATAAGATGGATTAGTGGCAGTTATACTGATGAGGTTTACAAGATTGACTAGTGTCTTAATCCAATCTCTTTTGAGATATAAAAGAGAGAGGCAAGCAGAGACACATGGGAACCTCATACCACCAAGAAAGCAGTGCCAGGAGTGGAGCTCATCCTTTGGACCTGCAGTTTCTGTACTGATGTGCTCCCAAGCCAAGGGAAGACTGATGCACCACAAGGACCTTCCTCCAGAGATGACAGAGAGAGAAAGCCTTCCCCTGGAGCTGAAGCCCTGAATTTGGACTTGTAGCCTTCTGGACTTTGAGAGAATAAACTTCTCTTGGTTAAAGCCATCCACTTGTGGTATTTCTGTTAGAACAGCACTAGATGACTAAGACACTTGGTAAAGTAGGTCAGTGAAAAAGAGTAAGACCCACAATGAGATGGACTGACACAGTGGCTGCAGCAATGCGCTCAAGCATAACAACAATTGTGAGGATTGCACAGGACCAGGGAGTGTTTCCTTTTGCTCTACATAGGGTCACTATGAGTCGGAACCAACCTGACAGTACCTAACAACATCTTTTTGTACTGTTGTTGTTTTTAGATGCCATCAAGTTGTTTCCGACTCATAGCGACCCTACAGGATGGAGTAGAACTGCCCCATATGGTTTCCAAGGAGCGGCTGGTGGATTCAAACTGTCGACCTTTTGGTTAGCAGCCAAGCTCTTAACCACTGTGCCACCAGAGCTCTCTTTTTCTATTAGCATTAGTAAATAGTAAGATTTGTTGGACCAATGAAGACCATTCTGACTGTCATTACTGAAATTTGTACCAATGATTATTAAGAAAGACAATTCAAAATGTGGAATCACGGTGATTTAGCAGTTTTTAGCCAATCTGTGAAAAGGTGAAGTTTTCAATGATTTTACCCATTTGTAATGTCAATATATACCGATGATTCTGCAACATTCCTCACTTGGGCAAACAGCTCTGGCAGCACACTTGTCCATTTCCCACTTTCGCCTCTTGGAACATATGCCAAATAAAATCTTTCTTCTTGCTTTACTATAACTGTGGTGATTTTACCCTAAAACTCCGAACCTGTTGCCATTAAGTCTATTCCAACTCATAGAGACCCAAGGAATAGCTGGTGGATTCAAACTGCCAATCTTTTGGTTAGCAGCTGAGTTCTTAACCACTGTGCCACCAGGGCTCTGATTTTACCTTGTTGTTAGGCACCGTCAAGTCGGTTCCGACTCATAGGGGCCCTATGCACAACAGAATGAAACACTGCCTGGTCCTGCGCCATCTTCACAATCCTTGCTAACAATGGGCTTAAGCCCATTGTTGCAGCCACTGTGGCAATCCATCTCGTTGAGGGTATTCCTCTTCTTCACTGACCCTCTATTTTTACCAAGCATGATGTCCTTCCCCAGGGACTGATCCCCCTCGATAACATGTCCAAAATATATGAGACAAAGTCTTGCCATCCTTGCTTCTAAGGAGCATTCTAGCTGTACTTCTTCCAAGAGATTTGTTCGTTCTTTTGGCAGTCCATGGTATAGTCAATATTCTTCGCCAGCACCATAACTCGAGGGTGTCAATTCTTCTTCAGTCTTCCTCACTCATTGTCCAGCTTTCGCATGCATATGAGATGACTGAAAATACCATAGCTCAAGACTTCTAAAGAGAAGAGGCAGAAATATAGATCAACCATTGGCTAATGTTAACATGATCGATTGAGCCCTGCCTTCCCCCTTAACTGATATCAGGTTACTCCTGGCCTTGCTGCTAATAATTTGGCCCTCCACCCATCTGCAGCCACGAGACTTTTTGAGAATTAGGAGGTAATGGTTTGATGGCTATCCTTTTCTAGCAGGATAAGGCAAATTTATAATGCTATAGAGCAGTTTCTGGCAGGCTTTTGCAGTTTGGGTCAGGTTTTTTTATGGTTAATATTTGGGTTCGTGGATAAGAAAAACCTTAAAAAGTAAGATGTCTGTTATTACTTTTCCCTCATCAACTGATCTCAGCTTAATACTTCCTCAGACATCACCAAATTCCCAATCTAATTCTTCCATCAGACTCTGTACTTTTCTGTAATGGTACTTATCATGATTTCTGACTTTTACAAGAGTTTTCTTTTTGATATGTATGTGTTTAATGCCTATTTCCCTTAACTCTCAGCTCCCTGAAGGCAGGGACGTTGTCTATTTTCTACTTGTTTACCAGTACTCATTAAAATACTTGGAATTTCAACAAATATTGTATGAGACCTCTATTGTAAAAACCCATGAAAAAGTTCACACACAAAATGTAACAATCTTTGTTGGTTACCAGGAATGGGAGGG